TACAAGCGCTCTTGCAGGTCCGCCTCGTCTTCTGTCTTCGCTCTGTGTGGGCTAGTAGCGACTCGCGATGTCACGTGAACGTGCATCGTTCTATAGTCTGCCGGCTTCGTAACGTGTCGATACTATTTACCAATTGATTGCATCCTTAAAGCAATGGCTTTCATCCGTATTGCAGCAGCTTGCATCCTTAGCGCAATAACCATGATCCCATGGCCACGAAAATTGCATTCACGACGCCCTCAGTGAGTCAGCTGTCCGCTGGCTTCAAACGGACATCGCGTTTGTTCACTCAAGTTCTTTTTGTGAAAGCGTTTTGACTCCATTCGCAGTGTGCTCTAGCCAGGGGACGCGATCCAGTGGTCCAGACTTGTTCATTGCTACGTCTGCGTTACTCCGAAACTGTGCTGACTTCGCCTAAGCTTCACACTCCAATCTTAGGGCTTTGGAGGCAGTACGTGAGCAATTCCCTGCTTCCACCCCCTTATTGTCTGAAGATGGTGCTTACCTCGACGAGTGGATGTCTTTCATGCGCAAATGAGATGTCTATTTTGTGCCATCGTACAGCTGACTCGCTGAGGGCGTCGTGGATGCAATTTTCGTGGCTACCGGTTTATAGTTTTTGCGCTAAGTATGCAAGCTGCTGCACTGTGGATGAAAACCATTGCCTTAAGGATGTAATCCATTGAGAAATGGTACAGTCTCTCGGCTGAGTGCACATCGTTTGTCTGGTTTCGAGTACAGTCGTTAGCTAAGTACATGCGCGAATAGGAACCGGGCTTGGCGTGCAACTTTGCGACCAAGCAAACGCAACCAGGGGAGGGCAAATCGATTACAGAAGAAGACCGCTATTGTGATCTCAGTTTTAACAGATCCAAAGTGTTGTAGGTGAAACGTGATACAAGTCTATAATGTATTCTGTCTTACAACGAGTAAAAATAGGTTCAATGTAATAAGCCATTCGTAGCATGTTCGAGATGGTGCTTCATTAGAATCGGTCAGGCCTTGTTCCGAAAGATCGTCAGTGGACTTGCTAATAATTTGGAACTTCATAGCAAATACACTACTCAGCAACTGACTTAAGCAATAGCGAAAGTAGGTACCTTGTACACTAATGTTTAATGGTATAGTCTATTTCACGCGTATGCATATCTGTGACTGGTAGTAATGGCAGACCTCGGAACTAGCGCTCTGCAGTACAATTGGAAAGAGTGTGACAGTCTTCGGGCAAACGAAGATGAGTACCCGGTCGGCCTTTCCTCAGACTTCTATGTGGACATGAACGCCTTGAGATAGGTATTGCCGATTAAGGAGCAGATATAACAGGTGTAAAAGCGTAGACTTAGTTAACGTTCTGTCGTTGACTTCCATGTAGGCATGAAAGCCTCGTGGTCGGTGTGGCTGAGTAAGGAAAGGATATACCATTGGTCGAACAGTTGAAGTAGAGGAGTCGGTTTAACTTCCCTCTGCATATATATATATATATATATATATATATATATATATGTATGTATATAGGTCCAGGCCACTCGGGACCACTAACGAAGCGACGACGGGTCCTGAAGAGAACGTAGGCAGAACCGGCGCAGCGTTTGTAGGTACGCTGCATTCGATTTACTAACCGCATGCTTGCATGCTAAGTCTATTTATTTTGGGTGGTGGGTATTCAATTTTGTCCTAATGCTTTTCTTTCCCATATAAATGCCTATTATACCCTCTTCTATACACTTGCACACGTTGCTTAAGCCACTTGTAGTTATTTCGATAACATTTTCGTGTTCGTAGCATTTCCGTAAAATAAACTTCATGACTTCGTGAACTTACTTCGTATTCGTTGGTAAACAACTTATTTTATATGCTTATTAATTTTTGATTTATGTTAACGTTTCCTTATGCATTACTCGATTTATTTTCTTGGTTATCTTTCTTTCAAATGTTTGGCTGTTGTTTGATATCCCCGGTGTGGCTGCGCTTGATGTGCATGATAACAAGGTGCCTACCTGTCTATTACTCACTACCTCGTCCATACTGGCTCCAGGAGACAGTTGGTCGTTACTGGAGCGGACGGGGTACACGGTTCTTGTGGCCGTGCTAGGCTCGAAGAGCGGTTCCATGCACTCAGTGTGTAGCGGACTACGGTTCAGCCACCGCCTTGTATGCGCTTGATTCCCCAAATACAGCGTGCTTGTGTTTGCCTGTGAAGGAGTGTGGGCCGGCTTTGTTGATGAAACGTGGCTCCCATCCACATGCCTTCCTGTCTTATTCTTTCGGGTTTACACTGGATATGGGGTGTGTGGATGGAGCTGTGGGTGGTGCAGCGCAAGTCACCCATGGTCGCTCTGTAGGCGCAGGCGTCCTGTGGCTTGCCACAGTGACAGGCAAATCCGAAACCGGATGCCACCAACCATGTATGTGTGTGTGCCCCATGCTGAGGCTGATGTTGCATTCTTGATGCTTCTTCACCGCAGTTGGGCTAAACCAACTTACGCTTAAACTGGGTCTTCTTAAGCAGGCTAAATTTCATTCCACTTTATTAGGTTTGTTCTGCCTACCTGAATAATCTTATATTAACTGGCCACGTAGCTTACACTAATTGCGCTTATCTTCGGTAACTTTGTTGCGTTTGTATCATTTTTCAGTAAATTGTGGACATTTTTTCCTTATCGCGGATTCGTTGCTAACCAACTTACTTCATATGTTAATTTAGCGAAGAGTTATGCCACCGTATCTCTATGCATTATTGGATTTGTTTTATTTCATCTTGTCGTTTCAGGTGATTAACTGTTGATTGCTATCCCCGGTGTGGCTGCGCTTGATGTGCATGTTGACAAGGTGCCTACCTATCTATTACCCACCAACTCGTCCAGGAGATAGTTGGTCGTTGCTGAAGGGGACGGGGTGCACGGTCCTTGTGGCCGTGCTAGGCTCGAAGAGCGGTTCCATGCACTCAGTGTGTAGCGGACTACGGTTCAGCCACCGTCTTGTGTGCGTTAGATTCCCCAAATACAACGCGCTTGTGTTTGCCAGTGAAGGAGTGTGCGCCGGCTCCGTTGATGAAACGTGGCTCCCATCCACATGCCTCTCGGTCTTATTCCTTCGGGTTTACACTGGATATGGGGTATGTGGATGGAGCTGTGGGTGGTGCAGCGCAAGTCACCCATGTTCCCTCTGTAGGCACAGACGTCCTGTGTCTGGCCACAGTGACAGGCAAATCCGAAACCGGATGCCGCCATCCATGGGAAATACAGTAGACATACGAAGATAGAGGAACAAAACTGATGTTTATTGGCATAGTGAATCACAGCAAGTCCGTCATTGTGCGCCATGTCCAACAGCGTTTCCAGCCATCTGTATTCCGAATCCTTCACCCTCCAGCCGGCGAGACGAGAGCGTCCGTGCCACTCCTCAGCCACCATATCGATGTGGTTCATTCAAGTACGTATGGCTATGTAAGGGGAAAATGTGATAGACGTTGGAAGACGGCCTGGAAATTTGATCTATTTTATCTTTTAGCTTCTGAGACTGTATTTAGGAGCAAGTTGAAAGGTTTCTGTACAACTCTAGCGAATTATGATAAATCTATGACATTTAATTGCGAATCGTCAGCGGTAGTGTTTGGTCAGTTAATCGTATAACCTTTTTCGGTTAGGGATTCGTATTGGTGTCATTATTTCCGGATATACGATGTCTTCTTTTGGCATTGTATATGCATCGTTTCACAAAGGCACAGGTTTCTGATATACTTCGCGACACGTGTGGTAACAAGTGAAACTTTTTCATTTATGATGGCGGAGTGTCACGGACATGGTATTATATGCCACTAGGGCTCTTCGGATAGACCTCTATGTCTTCGAAATTAAGCTTGAAGAATTGCACAGCTCGTGTACTCTTAGCACTGAATTGCAGCAGCAAGACCGACAAACGTCAAGTTAAACTATCATGTTAGCCTGACAGTGTTTAACAAATTCGGGCTATTCTGGCTGTGTTAATGTGTACACATAGAATGTCTATACACCTACCCTACTGTGTGTCGGATCGGTCAAGGGTGCCTGGTAGTCAGTTGAATCTACGCTTCGCTTCATCATCATCATTATACACATTAGCTAATGGTGGAAAACACCTCAGTTACTGCGCTTCGCTTAATTCAGAGGGAATGACTACGATTGGTGTGTCCGGTTCCGATTACATTCCCATGCTTTTAAACTCGCCTGCCATTCTCCTACCCATCATTGAGCAATTTCACGACAGCTGATTCAATATTGACACAGAGCGATCGGTGTGGTTCAGACAACGTGATCAGTTTCTCCCTTAGTTTACACAGCCACTATAAGAGCTCACCTAATTGTGCGAAAACGCCCAGGCCGACTGACGGCTTTGTTGTCCTCCAGTTCAGACGTGGCACATTTCGGGTGACTATGTGTTCGCCAATTGGGTTGCCACTCGCACGCAAACCTTATCACACGCGAACATCTAGACCGTCATCCCGGGCTAGCAATGATTCCGGTCATGTTTAATTGCCTAACCTTCATATTAGCAATGTCGTGGAATTCACTGTTCGCCCCTGAAATCAGCGACCTTATCTAAGTGACGGAATAAGAAAATAAATGCTTTATCTATCGCAGACCACAAAGTCGTCACGATTGTGTTTCCATAGCTTCCTATCTGTTGCTTGGTTCTCGTTACACTGCATCGGTCGTACAGACACAGTCAGTATTTGAATAATGCTAGAGGTACTTGTCTTTCATTTTTCAATAAGGAGTGCCGGTGTTTAGCGCACGGTCCTCCGACTTGGTAGGTACAACCGAATGACCCCTTATCGCTGTGTTTTTAGTGTTATTGCGTGAAATGCTTGTGGTTTCGACCTTATTAGGGACCAGCCGCGAGGCATGCGATATTTCCATTCAATACCTTTCATGCACCTAACAATACCACATTGTTTGTCTATCATTTTGCTTGTCAATCAGCAACATGACCTTCTTAATGACTCCAACTGCGTACTTCAGGTAAAATATTTTAACGCTGAGCAATATGAAGCCAAGCTATTCAAAGAAGCTTTCATCGATTATCAACGTGCGGAATGGCGTACCACCGCTTCCCTGAATCTCCTGAATACCATCCAAAACGCAGTTATCATTACGGGCCTGTTGATCGGCACATTGCTGTGTTCACGCGATGTCGTACTAGGTCGACTAACAGTTGGCGACTTCGTACTTTTCTACACCTATCTGCTACAGCTCTACGCCCCTCTAGGGTTCTTCGGCACTTATTACAGGTGAGTTCTCTTTCAATATTGCGGCACAGTAGCTGAGGTGTTCCCCACCTCTAGCTAACGTGTATGATGATATGATGATGATGACTACGTATGAAATTGCGTAAAAGGACATTTAATCTGGTGCGTTGATAAGATGACTGACTTGCTCCGACTTGCATCAAGGGGGTTTAAAGTTTTCGATTTTCGGTGAAACAAACAGGAGTTTTTACACTTTACAACTCTTCCATCCGCAACCTCAGATGTATGTGACTTATACAAGCCAACAATTGACGCAGTTGTCTCAGCGAATTGGGTGGTGATCAGGAATCTGAGCAGCTACGCGAAATTGCTGCCCACTCACCGATCTCAGTGGCATAGTGACAAAGATGTCAGCTATGAACTAGGCCTCGAGTTCCATCCCAACTCAGTCTATTTTCACCTGATGAGTCCAAAGAAGGACGAAAGCGTCGGTTGTGTGGTGTCAGTATTGGGATTAGCAGCGCCTCCATCTCTGCCCACTGCTATGCCCTCACATGAACGACTCATCAAGTACGTACCGTTATTCTTCGGCTGGACTAAGTGTTTAAAGCTTGCCTAACGCTGAGTCCTCTTTATGATGAGGTTGATAATGAAGCAAGGTAACCATCATCATTACCAACACATGTTGGTTGAGAATGAGAAACACACCTCAGTTAATGTGCCACAATACAAAACAGAAAAGATATTTGGCAAAGTTGAGATACAATACATTACAGAATACAATATAAAAATCAAAGACGTAATGTGATGCGTAGTGCCATTTGTGTGAGTACGTGGTTGAATGGAGTGAAAATAGGCGGGAGGAGGAGGGACAAAGAAATTCACGACACAAACGCCATTGAGGTTATGAAATACGCCCATAGAGATAGCAACACACAGCTCAGCGAAGAAATTTCTTTTCGATATTTCTCATCAGGCTAATACATATATAAAACTGGTTAAAATCGTGATAGGCTAAAATGGCAAGTCTAGGGTTGGTCAAGTCCAAACAGGCTGCTTTGGTATTCGATACTTTGCAATCAATTATAAGAGCTAAGCTCACACGTATACACACATGTTCACAATACAACACACCACGGTTCAGCTGTCCGATGGGGTGAAAAGGTTACTTTCCGGAGGTCGAGGAGAACGGCGAGTCACAGTAAAATTATGGCCATGTTAGCTTTTTGCCATGTCAATTAGTCTATCCAAACGCGTTCATCGTCTTTGGAATCCCAGCCAAGCATTGGGGAAGCAGCAACGGACGCCAACTTCGAAGTTGAACGACTTCTCATTCATCTTGACCAAGTCATCGCTTGGCCTCCCCTTCTCCTTTTTCATCCACACCCCCGGCGCGCAAACAACACACATCGCGGACATCGGTGTGTGCTGGCTTACACAACACGTGGCCAAACCATCGAATCGTGGTACGCAATATAATGGTGCTGAGCGGTTAACTCGCACTTCCTGCATCGAATACAGGATACCAAACACGTTCATTGCTCACGCGAGGTTCCTATGAGCTAAGTTGCAAAAGCAGCAAGGTAGTGAGATCGCTATGGAGGCCTCATTGCAGACCCCACTTTAGCGTGTTATAGTGGCTCACTACTTGCGACCCTATACCGTTAAGATCCTGCGTCAGATCCCCACCTCATCCTTTATCATATTTTTTCACTGGGCTATCCTCATTTATACTTATGTGGCAATTATTTACCATTACAAATCCCAGGTTAGGTATTTTTGTTTTGATTACTTAGGAACTGATGTGTTGCAACGCAACTGTTATGTCTCATGCTACAATGCCTTCTGAGGTCGAGCCGGACACAACTGCATTCTCCTTGAGTTTGTTGCCAGCTCTGGTAACATCCAGTTGTTTTTATCTCGTCCAGACGAATCCAAACCTTAGTCTCCTATGCGATGTCAACAAAACTCACCTGAAGTGTAATCTATATGCCTATAGTGAAGACGGATTTCGCCTATACTTGTTCGGTCATTGACGGGTATGCATTCTGAACGCTTGATTCTATGCTTGGTATCGATATTCTTTCCGCGTGACCTACCTAATTGGTGAGGCCTGTTTATGTCGTATTGTTTTGCCTGATTGTAATAGGAACCACCTACTAGTACAATGAACTACTTGGTAATCTCTCTTAGGTTGTTTTCCTTCTCCGTATTGTCTCTTTTCATAGGATGTTGCAAACCAGTATGACTGATATGGAGAACATGTTTGAACTGATGGAGCTCAAAGCCCAAGTGATCGACGTTCCGAATGCCCAAACCTTGCAAGTGCATGGGGGCGAAGTCGAATTCAGAAATGTCTGTTTCTGCTATTCGGAAGAGTGAGTCACCAGAGTTGTCGGCACTATTTATACTTTGTCAACCACATTTCATCGTCTCCATAGGTTGTGATCTGTTCTCATGCTAGCGTTTCGAAAAGTGGGACTCGGAAGCGTTTCGGCATTGTCCATGTAGTCATCCAATTCAGTCCCAAAGCGCGGAATCTAAACAGCTTCAGGTGGTGATTCAGCTTGCTTAGTGTCACCTCGTCACATTGATAGCGACAAAATTAGCCATATGGCGATCAATTGAAGTGTCACTTCCGGAACGATAGAGTGTTTGAATAAAAGCGCTAGTATTAAACTGGAACGTACGGCGTACTGGTGTGATACCTACTTCATAACTGCATTATATTGAGTTAGGACATCAATTAACTGAATAGTCCGTCCCGCATCGACACCGCGCAGCTATTTTTCTGTAGGTTAGCGCCGAGTGACGCTAGTTGGTCTACCTACTTTGCCATTATGCAGTTTATCAGGGCCTACGTGATGACACGCTGTGACTCATACTGAGGTTGATGTTGCACACCTCATGCTTCTTCACCGCAGTTGGGCTACATCGACTTGCACTTGAATCAGATCTTCCTAATTCGGATAAAAGGTATTCCTCTTTAGTTGATTTTCTCAGTTCTGTTATTCTGCTGCATATTCCGTGTCAATTTTGCGCATCCATTTTCCCTCGAATTCCGTGTTAGTTGTTAGATATCCCCGGTGTGGCTGCGCTTGATGTGAATGTTGACAAGGTGCTTGTCTGTCTAGCACCCTGCACCTCGATTTCTGTCTCCAGACTGTGTATCCTTGCTGGGGGGAGTGGGTACACTGTCCTCGTGGTCGTGTTAGGCTCAAAGAGTGGTTCCATACCATGTGGAGCGGACTACGGTCTAGCCAACTCGTTATGAACCGGAATGCTGCCACTGTGCATGTCAAAGGAGTGTGAGCCGGCTCCGTTGATAAAACCTGGCTCGCATCCACGTGTCCCCCGGTCGGTCGTATTCCTTCGGCTTTAGGCGGGATATGGGATGTGTGTGGATGGAGCTGTGGGTGGTGCTGCGCGGCCACCCATGATCCCTCTGTAGGCGCAGGCGTCATGACAGGTAAATGCGGAACCGGGTGCCGCCAACCATGTGATGACAACCGGCAGTTTGGAGACAAAGTAAACACTGCGGAACCATCGGTCAGAATGTCACACAAGCTGACCAAATTTCACAGCCGCATGAACAAGTAGCGTGAGATAGAACAAGACACATCGTATTTTTGCAGGCTGAGGCAGCGGATTGATGCAAACAGCGTGCGCGAGTCAACGAACATGGGCTGCTACCTCCAAGAATGATGACGCGTAGTCAACTGGGTGTATAGAACTAACTCGGTTCAGTACAATAAGGGCCAATCGAGTGCCACCCACGTGCGCGGAAAATGATTACATTGGCCGGATGGACGACGGCTAATTTTATTGTGACCTCAGATTAAACGGACATGGGGTAGACCGAACGCAGAGGACGAACACGGCGAGCCAGCTGGTTACCAAACGCAGACGGAAAGGTCGACGAAACGAAAGGGATCAATCATGTGGTGGCGCGCAATTTTATGTGCAGAATAAATGACACCACAGTTCATGTATATTAGAACTTGATTGCTGGTCAGCGTTTTTACCCTAAGGGGGCTGCAGAACAGCGCTATCATTGCTGTCATAACAACACTGACAGTTGATTGACGATATCTGCTCACTCTGGGATTAAAATGGGTGGGGAAGGTGGTCACGAAGAAGATGAGTGGTCTGTATTCGTCCATCCACTGCCAAGTGTCACTCATCCTGTTACTGTCAGTTAGACAATCCTTGGCATTGTATGAAGCTCACATGCCATGCGATCGGCGGGCCACACGGTTCATATACACACGTTCACCGTTTCAGTCATCGACCGGATGCATTTTCGCCTTTCTCTGCAGCTATTTTTATGCGCCGTATTCCAATCACACAACGGGTACTTCAAATGACCCCCCAATCAGTCATTAACCGTTGTGCCAAACGTTGTTCGCTAGGTCTGGACGCCTGCCGTTCCTGTCGATTATGAAGCCTAGAAATGGTATCGAGTCCACGAAGAAGGCACACTTCTTAGGTCGGAGTGTCAATCCATGTTACTGAACATGGCCAAACACTCGATCGTGCTTTTCGAACAGATCGTTAGCATCGCGTTCGACAGCAGTAATATTGTCCAGGTATGCGACTGCTCCATCGACATCTGTCAGCATTTTGTTCGTGATCTGCTGCAATACAGTTGATGCTGACTTAAATCCAAACGGGAGTCGATGTTAATGATACAGGGTTCGGTGCATGTACTTTGATCTGTAGGTATGCATTGGAGAGATCCAGCTTTGCAAAACATTTACCTCTATTAAATTTTACCAACACATTATCTGGAAATGGTAAAAGGTATTAGTGGGTGTTCAATACAGCATTTAGACCCGTCGAAAAATCGGCGCATATGTGAATCTGACCGTCTGGCTTTTTGTCCATAACAGTGGTTGTCGCCCAAGATAAGTAGTTCACTTCTCTAAGCGATTCAGCCCCTGGTTAACCATTGATGTTGCTGTTTAAGCTAAAAGGCGTCTCGTACGAAACACTAAAACACCACCTGGCTTAAGCGACAGTGCAGCTTTTATTTTGGTGCACATACCGAGACCTTCCCGAAAGACTGCTGCATATTTCTTTCGTAGGCGCTTGGTGGCTACAGTTTTGGGGGCTGTTATATTATGTATCTGGACACTTGCATAAATCTGGTTGATGGGAACATCAAGTAGATTAAAACGCTCAATCCAGTCCATACGCAGAAGATTCAAATTTTGGTTGCTCCTGACGAAAATCGTTCTCCATGCGGTCACGTCGGCATAAGGACACAGTCAACTTGACCAAGCAATTTCAACCCGGCAGTTGATGCGCTTTTTGCATGCTGACTGGTAGGTTTAATATCTGGCGATCCGACAGTCCTCCACATCCTTTCTGATATATCCGTGATATCTGAGGCCGTATCGTTCTGCAAGTGCACCTGTCTTCCATTGCTGTTGCCGTACTTTCTACGATCTCTAAGAACTCCAGTAAAATTGCCGTTCATACTCTTCACGATATGTCGATAGGTTTTCTTTCGAGAATCATGGACGTGTCTGAAGGATGGCTTGATCTGCAATGAGTTTCTTTGCGCCTAAGTTTACGGCACTTTTGGCAGGTCTACTAGTTGAATGGACACCATCCAATAAAATCCAAGTCTCCACATCGCAAACACTTACCTTGGAAGAGTATTTTGAGATTTGTGGCTGCCAACTTGTTCCTCGAAATCTGCTGATCTTCGAATTCATTGGAATGCGTCTTCGTATCCTCAACCATAGTTATATCGTCTTTTGAGCATATGATTCTCTAAATCTCTGCAAGGATAGTTTGCAATGTGACTTCCGGATCTCGCTCCAACCGGCTGTGTATTCTGGTTCAGATCTCGGCATCACTAGGAGTTTGCAGGCTGCATACCAATGTCAGACACTCAACTAAGTCTTCAGTAAGTGATTACAGCTTGAATTTCTGGCATTCTCGCACTCAATGTTTCTGCATGATCAATGGTTAGAGGCCAGACAAAATCAGCCTCCTGGTCCTCCAGGTTGGAGGTTGGAATGTGGTGGCTCCTTATTCCTTAAAACGGACTCTTTGTAGCCCAACGCCAAACTCACTGCCTTGCAGTCAGGTTTGTGAACCCAAGGCTTTGATTGAGAACCCTAATCGTTCTCCTATGTAGGCCTAGGCAACCTGACAGTATCCTGCTCACGCAATACAATGAATTTCTCTTCAAACAGTTTCGATGCTCTGGCCACCGCAGAGGATAATCAACGGTGCCCTATCTGTTGCATCGAGCAGGATGGATAGGGGTTTGGATGCTACTGCTCAAGCCTACGTATCTTATTCCCCCTCTTCCGTTCTTTCTCTCTTACCGTCTTGTTCCAGCTTCACTTTTATCCCCCTCTTTTTACCCCATCAATTCTTGACCCTCCCCCACCTTGCTTTGCTAGGGTTTTCTCTTCTAGTTTCAACTCAGATGAACGCGGAGCGTCATTCTTGTCCTGTCGACAAGCCCATGTCCAACCAAGTGGCGAAGCCCAGTTCATCCACTTTCATTTAGAGCCCTCGGTCATCCTTCAGATTGGCATGCCTCAATGTACGCACATTGCTTCAGATGGGTCAACAGGCAGCACTTGCCCGAACATTAGACACCCTCTCAATTGATCTCTGCTGCTTATCAGAGACCCACCTGCAAGACTCGAGCTATTTGCTCACTCTGCGATCCTCTTCAGGTGACACAGCAGTATTTTCTCAGTGCGTCTATCCTGTGACGATGCAGCTTTGAGCACCGGCCAAGCTGTTGTTGGCGTTGCCCTTAGTCCCCGGGCTGAAGCTGCTCTGGTTGACTGGATCCTAATAAGTAGCCGGCTGTGTGCGTTCCGATTGGCTGGTTCATTCAAAGCTTCGAAGTCGCGCGGGATTAGCAGGCGTCTTTTTGTCATCACTGCCTATGCACCCACAAACTGTAGCGATGTTTCGGTAAAAGACGACTTCTACCGCTAACTGGCCGAGCTCCTTCGCCCCAGAAGAAGCTCGGACACTGTTGTGCTGGCTGGGGATCTGAACGCTCAAGTTGGAAAATTATCCACTGATGGAGTGCATCTGGACGGCCAACATAGTCTAGGCCCCCGTAATGATAACGGTGAGCGGTTACTTCATTTGTGTGAAGATGCCCGCTTATTTCTTGCCAGCACTAATTTCAGACACAGCACCCGCCTGATGGTGACTTAGCGCCCACCAGCCTCGAACCAGCTTTGGACGCAAATCGATCACATTGCTGTCAGTTACCGCTGGAGAGGCTGCATCCAGAATTGTCGCTCGATTTGGAGCACATGTGTGGACACCGATCATGCACTTGTAAGTGCTGACATGCGGATGCCCTTTGGCGGACGCCCACGATGACGCTGTGA